TTGTTTAGTGACTGTTCGAAGTTACAACAGCATTGAAAAAAGTGACTTATTACCATTTTTCACACTTACAATGTAGCAGCATCGCCATGGTCACATGATGAAAATTAAGATGTTTGACAACTGGCATGTATTTATGACAGTTGCAATGTCCTGGAGTCATGTGATCACCTTTTGCAACCTTCTGAGAAGCAAAGTCAATAGGGAAGCCAGATTCATTTAGAAACTGGGTTACTAACTTAACAACTGCAGTAATTCCCTTAAGAGTTGTGGCAAGAAAGGTCATAAAACGAGCCCAACTCACTTAACAACTGGCTTGCTTAGCAATGGAAATGTTGAGGTCAGTTGTGGTTGTAAGTCAAAAACTATCTGTGCTTAATTAAGTATAATGAAACCAAAGGTCTTCTAAGGAAAATCTTTTCTCCTCTTGTTTTCTAAAAACTATGGTCAACATTTCTGCTTAATGAGATGTTTCAGAGATGAGGTTCCCTGCTGGAAAATGAAAGATTCATTGAAATGAATGAACAAATGAAAAAAACCCAGGTTCATTTGTGAGCATATTCTAAGTTCAAAAAAATATATTATCAATTGTTATTAAGATTGTTTGTTCTTATTGATATACATAAAAATATCTAATAATTATAATTTGTTATTAGTATTAGCACTGTTTAAGTTCATTAATTCACAAATTCATTACTAGGAGCTGCCTATTTATTTATTTACAGCCCAAGACCAAATCACACAATTTAACAGAAAACACAGAATGCCCACACACCCATTAAGTAAAAGACAGAAACGCTGAGGTGTTAATATTGCATAGATGGGTCAAATAGCTTCTATCAGCTAAGGCTATAAATCAGGGGTGTCAAACTCGTGGCCCACAGCCCGGATGCATCACATGCTGCCCCTGCCCAGTTTAGCAAAGCGGAAAAAAAAATCCCAATATATCACGTGACATCACCATGACAATGCGAGTTTGACATCCCTACTATAAATAAAAAAATTGCTACTGCCCTCAAACAACATGGTTATTAGTCATTTAAAAAGAATACCATAATCTCCTCATCATGACTGTACTTTCTCCGACTCAAGAGCAGGAGCCTTATCTCTAGTAATTAATTAATTCACTATTTCTTTTTCCATCTTTATGCTTTCTGTAATAGAGCTTATCAGGAAAGGGAATGGTGGGATAGGTATATACTGTAAGTGCTACCTCTGAACATATTGAATGTTCCACTCAAGGTTTTCAACTGCCTATAAGTATTACCTTTGGTACATCAGTGCCTTTCCCCATTAGAATTCCTTATTGTAACAATCAGCTATGGTAATTAAACATTTCATTATACTGTAGATCATGCCTTCAAACATTCAACTATATCTCAAATAGTATTTAAATATCTAGAATGTCATCCAGAGTTTTGTAAACAAGGCCCCTTGAGGGGTTCATTTTCAGTCTCTTAGGTATCACATCAAGAAACTACCTTGGACCTTTACATCAGAAGAGAAGGAGGAAATTGTACGTTTCAAGCCTCCCTTCTAGAAACATTCAGGCATAAAGGCCAGTAATTTAACAGAAATAAGCTAGAAATAAGTCTCTATTAATAATTTATCCCTTTGGTCTCTTTTGGAAGAAATCTACCTTTTTCCTCCTTTTCCTTTCCTTGATCTATTTTGATCTTTTTAATATGAGATTTAAAATAGTTGACAATAACCCCTTAGCAAATAAATAAAACTATACCACCAACTGTAAGTTTGTTCACTTGCTCTAGGGGCAAATTGATTTGAAATCTTTGTGATAGAGAATTTTTTTTTTGGTTCATTGGCTTTGGTCTGCCATGAGTGAATAATGGGAGGAGTATTTGTGTGGGTAGATGCCAGATCAATGGTCAATACATCTCCAAATAGATAGAATTCTTTATTGGCCAAGTGCGATTGGGCAGACAAGGAATTTGTCTTGGTGCAAATGCTCTCAGTGTACATAAAAGAAAAGATACATTCGTCAGGAGTCAAGAATCATAAGGTACAACATTTAATAATACAGCAAATACAGCAATGGTACTAAATAAGCATTAAGCCAATGTAGTCAATTAGAAACCCTAAGCTGTAAGGGATAATAACGTCAGCCAAGAAACAGATGAGCTAAATAAAACTTAAGTTGGGTGGCTATGCATAGAACCCAACTCAACCAAACCAAACCATGCAACATTTCTTGCAAGAAGTGGAAGCTAAACTATTTTTCACCATTAATTTCTATAGCAGTTAACTCTAATTCTAAGCCTTCATTTCCATATTTATACAACATAGTATATATCACAACGTATACAATATCATGCCATTTTGGATCTTTTTACAGAATGCACATTTCAGATGGAAGCATCCAAAATAAGCACAGTGTGTTGCAAAGATTTATGTGAAGGAGAGAGAAATTATTATTGAAGCCAGTAGCCCAAAATTGCCTTCTTTTGTAATATTAATATGAACAAACAAGAGGCAGTATCTTTGACCTAATCACCAAACCAGCAACCTTTTACTGAATGGGATTAACATGCTTTTCTCAAATTAATTCCTTCTGAGGGATAATTTCTTCTAGCATGAAGCCAGGCCTTATTCTGTAATCTGAATAATTGCATTAAGCCTTAGATTACATTTCAAAAAGTGAAAATGCAGTTTAGTGAAGATATAAACTAAAATAGCTGCAGAAAATTAGTCCAATATTGCTGATAATTGCCATTCTTGTAAAACAAATGCAACAATTTCTGTACATACAATATACTGCTATTTACTAACTTCTAAATTTGATTTACTGCTAACTGCAAATCAGGAGACTTCAAACATGTTCAGAAATTAGTTCCACCTCAGTTTATATTTTAAGACCACACTAATTTACAAAGAACAACTATCATTTGATCTGTGGCTTTTTTTCCCAAGTTACACTTTACTTGTTTCAGCAGCTTGTAAAGTATTTCTACAGAAAAAAAAAATGTATACCATCACAATTCAACAGGTTTTGTAGAAAATTGTTTCCAACCTGCTGAGTTTTGTAATTAGCATATAGTAACTTTGATTCTATACCCTTTAATGCAGTAAGATATCCTGTATTTTGTAAGAACTTAGATTCTTGTTCATTTGAAATGGCAATTCAGTAATAAATCCTAAAGATATTTCCTTAAGAATTGCTGACATCTGTAGAGCATATTTCAGATGCTTAATCTCATGCTTTTTTGAAAGTCTTTCCTGTCTTTTGACATCTCAAAAGCCTTGGTGAAAAGACAAGAGCAGCTATTTTATTAACCTATGAAACATTTTTAAAATTTAATTTTGATACGTTAGCTCGCTAAATTTTATTTGAAAAATCTGAGCCTTTCTTTTTAAAAATATGCCTTATTGGTTAATCTTTATAAATGCTAACAATCAGCTCTGAATCCAAAGCAGTATGAAAAAAGAATATTTGTGAAGGTACATACAAGCTCTTATGGGGTTTTTAAATTAATGTTATACTGACTTTAGTTTTCATGCTACAAAAGTGACTTCTGTTACTGATTAGAATTAATTAATTATGCTGTACTTTGGTAGCAGGACATACTCGTCTTCGTTATGGCCATTATGCAAAAAATGCACAAATTCATGCAAATCAGTATATAAATTATTTGAGCAGTAACAATATCATTTAATGATTTAGTGTCATTCTTATTAATCTAATGAAAGCAGCTCTTATACGTAATGAGGAACATCTTACAAGTGTGAATGGACTACTTTGGATTCAACCTATTAATCTGATTACAATATTCTGGTGTGAAGTTTTGAAAGACATGGCAGTATAGAAATACAATACATACACTGCTAACTAAATAAATGTTTGAAAAGTCCTACAAATAAAATGTGTGAAAGTAAACAAGAACAATGGAACAACAAGAAAAGTATGCAGGCAAATGCATATAATAATTAAAGTCTGAATCATTTCATACAATACATTCAAATAAAATGGTTAAATTTCCCAGCTTTCATTTAAACCATAGCAAGGTCAATACAAATGAATGTACCTCTAAATTATTCTAAATGAAATCTCTCATTCAAAATTTTAGTTAAAAGCTGCAGTCCTAAAGACTAGAAGCAAATTCCACTAGGATTATCATACCTGGGTTGCAAAAAAAAAAAAAAAAAAGGAGCAAAGACAAAATGACAACAGAGAGATACCAAAACACAAATCATTTACTACCATTTAACAGTCTTGGCAGAAAGCTTGCAGCCCACATACAGTAAACCTACATTCTTCAGAATTTAATTGTTCAATGGAATTTACTTCTGGGTAAATATGAGTAGGATTGCATTGCAAATAATTACGATCATCACAAAATTCACTGGTTGTTTAATCTATTTAACATGTTAGGATTTTTTTTTTCTACTCTCTCATCTCCTATTCCTCCAATACTACACTATATATAGTGCTGCTACATTAAACAATTAAATTCTGAAGAATTTAGGTTTACCATTAGGATTACCTAAATTCATCATTCACTCATAACAAGCCTGAACATGTGTGTAAAAGCCTTGGAAAGTACCACGGACTCTTTAATATGTCATTATCTGATCAACATCATGATCATCAGTAACTGAGTTTAAACATGCTTAGGTAAACACATATCCACCATCCACCAAAAATTAAAAATAAATAAAATATAGGGACACTAATTACAAATAATAAATGAATCAATTAAAAAGAAAACAAACTCAAAGGGCAAAATCAATGGACCACCATGTCAGTTTTCTTATCTATATTTTTATCTAAAATCTACAGCGGAGTCTTTTTTCCCCCCTAATATGAATGACTCTCTATAATCTCTATATATGTCTGATGTGTGTATGCATCTTACTATACATACTTTGACTTCAGGGTATATTATTTACCACACATACTAAAAATCAGTATTCTACTTCTCTGTCATTTTGTTAAAGGCACACAATGAAGCACAAATCTTAACGTAAGAGCATGTCTATAACCATACCTCATTCTCATTCTTGCTTAACCACTCCTTGACTGTGGTAAGTGCAATGACTGCAGCTGGCTCATTTGGAAAACCTAAGATCAGAAAGAAAATCAGTTATGTATGTGCATACTATATATATCATTATATATAACTGTATAACATGTGTTATGGATACACATTCATTCATATTAGTCAGCAGTCTTTTCTTAATTGATACTAATTTAGTTGCATTACCTACTATTTAGATACCACATTTATATACCCTGTTTATAAGTACTACCTTTATTTATTTATTTAAAAAAAACCTGTTGATGAATTAAATGCATTTAATAGTCAACATAATCCTAGGGAGACAGAAGAAGAAGAAAATAAATAAAAATGAAAAAATTAAGAAGATAGTACTCAGGTAGTAGCTAGCCATGACAAGCAACCTTTCTGCTTTATTTATCTTTGTCTTCAAGAAAAGAAATCAAGGAGGATAAACCTTTAATTCCCCCCTTGTTGCCATTTGAAAAGTTGACAGATATGATTAAAAGATTTGCAAGAAGAATTATTTTAGCGGGGATGCACATAACTGAATCCATGCAAATACTATTTTAAGAACTATATATTTTAAAACCAGCAAATCTAATATATCCACCATACATACTCCAAGTAAGTTTCTAATCCCTTCAGCAAATAGTTTCCCCTGCATTGATCCCCTGCCTTATTTTTCTATCCTGTCTGATGATGAACTATATTGAATAGTATGTACACCCAGAGTACCTCGACCGTATTTCAGTTGACTCAAATCTGTGGTTGTTTATGCACAGGCTCTTTTCAAAACAAACATTTTTTTTCCCTTTAAAGAATGATTCACCTTGAAAATGTTAATATTTATACTATAGTGCCCTGGCTGAAAGTTAGGATAAAGCAATACATGCACATATCAAAATTTATATAGGTTGTTTATTCAGCTACATAGGAGCAATCTCTAAAAAGCTTTACAAATGTTAAGTCTGATGAGAAAAGAAACCTTCCTTCCTTCCTTCCTTCCTTCCTTCCACTGATGGAAAGCTTAAAGGAAAAAATATAATATACAATATATCTACTGTATGTGTATACAGAGAGGGAGAGAGAGAGAGAGTCAGAGACAGACAAAGAATATTCAAAGGCAGCACTGAGTTAATAGTTCCTATTCTCTTCCTATGTTCCTTTCATTTTCGAGAGCAAGTAGGAAAATTGTTTTGATCTGTATTCAGAATTAACTGTACAGTACAGTTTGGGAACATGGATCAAGTACTTCTCAGAGGAGCTAGCTTACCTTTCAATGAGTACTCTGCGCAATAGCAACAAAATCCCACCACTTGAAAAGGAAGTCTAATTGAACGGCACAGCAGTGCAAAAATGGAGAGTGAAATCTTGCCAAAATAAGAGCAGCCGGAGAACTTTCTATACCAATAGGTTGTGGTCCTTCAGTTTTTTAACAGTATCAATCCTACTGCCATATATCAAAGACTTATGCATTGTATACAACTTCCTACTCTGCTGTAGTAAATTCTTAAAGATCCTATGCTACAATATCATGCATACATGCACACGCACTCATATTCACATACATATATGGCACATACATACCTTCTGTACATATATGCAGAAAGCCAAACAGCTTTGACATTTTGAATATTCCTGATCTATTTAAACCTGATCAATATCTTTAAAATAGAAGGAGGCCACAGAAAGGATAAAGCACGCAAGACCCTAGTACACACAACTGTGGAAGGTTCTGTATAGGATATGAGTTGTGCGATTAAAACTACACAGACAGTTTGCCAACTATTTTCACGGATTTTTATTTTTGAGCCGCGTTATTACTTACAATGATATGGGACTGTTCTCTTCCACAATGGCCTTCAGCAAAAAAGCAATCTTTATAATCATGTGGGAATCAATTTAGTCGAGTGAAATGAACTTGAGGAGTCTCACAGGTAACCAATTGTTAAGGGGAAGCAGCTCAAACAATTCTGGCTAAGGGCTCAGTTTTGGAAAAAAATAAAACAGGTAAATGTAATAAGAGAGACCCTATCTTAGGTGCTGTAGCAAGTATGCCTTTAGAATACTAAAAAGGAGGAAAGCACAAAGAGTCAAGAGAGCATTAGCCAGAAGACAGAGACAAGTGACACACCAATTTAAAGGAGATCCTCCTGACAAAGTCGATGTTATTTACACGCACATATCTACTTTCTTTCAGGAATCTGGCCTTCCAATTTTAAGCTGAGCCCATTCTCTCCATCCAAAGCCAAGTAACAACTTTCATTAGAGGAGCCAATATATCATCAAAGATCCTAGCCAAATCCATCAATAGACAGATGCCAGAAGGCCATTTTTCCATTTGCTATAAAAATGGGGATTGCACCTTCTGGCTTTGTCTTCAGCTGCACATGTTCATGGAGTTATCTGCCCTGCAAAATTTCATATATATGCAAGCCATCCCCTGAAAATATGAAAGACAAGGGTCATAAAATGTCTCCTGTGAACAAAACACATTGGTCCATGAAAACTGAGGGAAGCCTACAGCCATGGTCATTGTTGCGGTATCTTAATCCACATCGTACAATAATTTCTACTATAACAAAAACATAGTCTGCAAAAAAATGAAAAGGCCACCAAACTGCCTTCCATTGTCAGATATTGTGTGTCTGCAAACATAATTTCTTAGCAGGAAATTCTAAAATGAAAAAAACGATGAATGTAATTTGCTTTTTTTAAAAAAAATGCCACATTTTTATAAAATGTAGAAAAATGCTACCACCTTGTTTTACTGATTTTCAGGTTGCATGGGAAAACTGGAGTTCTCTTCTCATAGATATATGATGACCAATAAAACCTGAGTGAAAATGTTTGCTTGTTTTATCAGTTAAAATAATACAACACCCCATCCTCTTCGCCCACCCCTCAAAACCCCTTTAACAGATATTCAAGTACTCTATGGCTCACATTTCACAAGATGTACTTCAGGAAAATGGAAACAGGCTATTTCTGCAAGTATAGGAGATTAAATGGAAAATTGCCAGGAAAGAGATTCACTTCAGTGCAATTTAATGATTGCACAATGGAAGAATAGCATTCTTTGGCACGTTTAACTGTGAAATCTAGTGTTGCCTGAAAGCCTATATACAGCAGTAAATAGGTATGGATTGGTATTTGCTAACATAATCCATCTGCTGAATCTCTTCTGTTTTTCTGCAGACTTCGTTGCTGTTTCTAAAAACAACTCACTGACCTTAATATAATTGTTTACATGTCTTTATGAGCTATACAATATTTTGTTTTCAGAGCAATTCATACAGTAAAATGAATGCAGATCAGGAAACATTCATCTAGGTCAGCTAATCATAAATTTGACTAAATTAGATAATTGCTCTATGAAATTATGGTGGCTGGAAAACTATCTTGCGGTAGTTTCCCTTCCTTTCCCTTTCCCTTCCCTTCCCCTTTTTAAAATAACCAAACAGGAAAGATTGCAATTTTGAAGAAATATTTAAAACTAGAAATTCAATCATTGGTTCTTTTAACAGATGTGCAGAATTGAAACTTGAAATATAGAAAAATGCACTTCCAGGCTGCCAATAATATTCGTGCTTGTCATAACTGAAGGACATGATCATTGTTGGAATGCTGAAATCAAGACGTCCTTGATGTAATGTCGAAAACAGAAGATTTTCTTTCTCCAAGTTCATCTGAAGAAAAAGCTTGACAGTGAACATAAATCTTTTCTAACTAATGTTACTAGCAGCAGAGGTGTATTCAGAAGACCATTTTAGTGTTGAACAGCTGTAGGTCTCAAGCCATGAATGTGATGTTTTGATAAATGCATCACAATCTATGTGTTGAGGTATAGAAAGATATATAAAAAATCAGGATGATGCCATTTTAGAGAGAACTCGGTGTAGACATGGGTCTAGAAAACTGAAAATAATTATTGAATATGATATGTACAGTAATATAGGGACTTCACCCAGTAAAACTGATACTCAAGCATCAGTAAAACTAACATTCAAGCAACACTGGAAATGTGTAACTCCTACCTCATAATTTAAAAAGTGTTCCACTGAAGGTGCATTTGGCAAAAGGGAGGAGGTGGGGAGACTTTGCTCTAGTCATTTGAATTATTGTTTTTATTAGCATTGATTTAGTACATACTTAATCTGTATAGTGCATCAACTGGAATATTGAACGTCAACAACCTTCCAGGAACTGCCATAAATTCACTCTTACAAACATGTCGTTGTTTAATCTTAGGTATATTAGCATAGCCGAGTGCTAATGTTTACTTATACCAAAGTTCCTAAGTGATGTTCCCAGGATCTGCCAGGAGGGTGGTGAAATATATTTATATGAAATCAGTGAATGAAATAGAATTATTGGATTTTGAGAAGTTCTTTGCAAAAATAAATAAATAAATTCTCATCCATCTGCTGCACTACATTCTGTACATATTACTGCTTCTCAATACTGAGACTACCATGTTGTATCTGCCTAGCTCTTTGACAAGCCAAGAATGTAAGGCAGCTATCAATAATTATGTACCTAAAAAAAATAGTATTAAAGAGCCAGCTGATATGTTGATGGCATTTATACAACACATTAAGATACATTGTGGTAGAACTAAATCTATCATCTCTTCTCAGTCCATGGATCAGATCTTAACCATAATGCATAACTCATGGTTCGCTATGAGTACCTTAATTTAGCACCATTGAATGTACTATCTAAATCTAGTTTGGTGGTTTGCTAGACCCTGGTATTGGTTTGCTTGACATAAAGTTGACAGAGTAACCGCAAATTAGATCCATTCAGGTGTGGGGGAGCAGCGGCAGCAGCAGCTCCAATATTTCAGCTTCTTTCTAATCCCCAGGGGTATAAAGTTAAAAAATTGTACAATGTGGCAAACATAATTATATATCCTGAGAGTTCCCTATATCACTGTTACAGAAGACAAATTAAATTAATGCATAGAGGTTGGGTTCATCAGTATATAGACAAGATCTTTATGAATGCTATCTCTAAATTAAGGGGAAGAAGAAGCACCTACTCATTATCTATTCCGCAC